CAAATGGGGATTGAACCCACGACCTCCTGAATGCCACTTGCGAGCCTTACCAACCGAGTTAGTCCACTTTTTCTCTCGAATAGAACGCTTCAAATAAAACGTACATGCGTTGTATTCGAATACAAAGCATGCGGTGTCTATTCAAATCTCGAAAAGGAAAAACTATTGTATTCGAACAGAACGTCCCCTTCTGCTTTTCTTTCTTGAGGTTTGTGCCCCTGGTCACGGACATGTTGCCTGCTGCAGTGCTCTCTCTCTCTCTCTCTCTCTCTCTCTCTCTCTGTGTGCAAGGTTGGTGTGAGTAAAGTCCACCACTTTTCTCTCTTTGGGTCATAGCTAACTCTGGGCGATGTGGTGAGTCCTTATCCATCAGTCAAATGCATCCTGGGCAGACTGTCGGCGTTCAACCTCCTGATGATTCGGTGAAAGTCCGACGAAACAGTCTGGCACAGTCATGTTTTTTTTTTAGTGTATAGCGAATATCACAACACACACACACACAGCCACACACACAGACACACACACACACACACACACCCCAAAAAAAAAAGCACTCACTCACTCTCACATACACACACACGCACAAAGTTTTGGAAGTTGTGTACAGGGAACATGACAAACCACATCAGAAGACAAACTATGGGTGCTATGGGCTGCGCACGAGTGCCCTCATGGTAAGTCAATAGGTCCTCCGCGAAAACACGAAGGACCAGTCCCCCAATAAATTCCACCGCCAACGAACTCTGGTGGCTCGCCGCAGCCCTTAGGGCTGCGAATGCCAGCGACCAGTCTGACAGAGGAGAAATAGGTAGCCTAACTTTTTGAGTGTTGCAAATAGCAGCAGTGAGGCCTACCCGTAACTGTGGATAAACGAAGTATGAATTCATATCCTGATTGAAATAGTAATGTCCGGGACTACCGCCTTTTCGGGAAAGGGGGGTGAGGGTAGAAAACGCAGAGAGATAAGTGCGATTTAAACTCATCTGTTACTGTGAGGGTAGAAAACGCAGAGAGATAAGTGCGATTTAAACTCATCTGTTACCCGNAAACGCAGAGAGATAAGTGCGATTTAAACTCATCTGTTACCCGAGCGTGGGGCAGGGTTTACCTTACCAAAATCAACCTGAATGGGGTTGAGACGAGTTTAGTTAGAATAATGGCCGAGGTTCTCCCCGCGGGCAGGGATACTTTTCGGCTCAGCGATAGCGATGGGTTCAGCAGAGCCGAGTTCCTACAAGCCGGCACTCGAGTCGTGTACGAAGGTTTGGTCGATGGGGGAAAGTGAGTGACGGAGGGAGCCACGGAGAGTTTCTGAGAGCCAACACACACACAGCAAGCCACGGGGGGGTGGAGAGAGAGAGAGAGAGAGAGAGAGAGAGAGAGAGAGAGAGAGAGACCGGAGCGACTCTGTGTGTGTGTGTGTGTGTGTGTGTGTGTGTGTGTGAGAGAGAGAGAGAGAGAGAGAGAGAGAGA